CCGTGAAAGTATTATAGAAAAAAGGCAGAGGGAAGCTACGTTACGGTGGTTGGAAAGTGACTGAAGCCGAGATGCAAGGTCAGGACCAATAACATTGCAGATTCTTCTTTGGATCTTATCAAAAATCTCTAAATATATGGAAGGAGCACCAGACCAGATATAGTGCCAGTATTCAAAGAAAGGACAAATAGTAAACAAATATTGTAAAATATGTCTCTCGGGAAATGTGTCTGTAAAATTAAATGCATTTCAAATTTATGTATGCCAGTCCGTCTATGCCTTTATCTATCTATCTATCTATCTATCTATATATATATATATATATATATATATATATATATATATGTCGTAACATTACGCATAGTTATATATATATATATGTGTGTGTGTGTGTGTGTGTGTGTGTGTGTGTGTGTGTGTGTGTGTGCTAGTAAATAATCAATACTCGATTAACAAAATATTTTATTCGGTAGTGGGTACAGCTTGACTAGTATTATGTTGATGGCAGTAAATGCTTTCTTCATGAGAACAGAATTTTCGACCCGAAAAAGCGGCTATATTCAAAGATATGACATTTTGGTAGTGCCAACGAAATCGTGGCTCGGACAAAAATATCTGCTGACATTAAGATCAAAAACTTTGATTTTATACGTCGTATATAGCTTTGCTAACCTTCATCAGAAAGAAAAGATTTGGACATGCATTTCTGGCATTTAACCTCTGAACCTGGCAATCATATATATATATATATATATATATATATATATATATATATATATATATATATATATATATATATACAGGTGGCAATAAAGTCACTATACAGTTACTTACCATAACAATTTAGACAAAACAATTAATCAACAGTCCATAAATTTATTATTAAAATGGTTCTGGTTAAAAACAATAAAATGCTTTGATAAACAATACTAAATTAATTACTGATACTGTTCGATCAGCAAGCCATCTGTTTCTATGCATGAGAAAAATGTATAGTGACTTTATTGACACCCTGTATATATATATATATATATATATATATATATATATATATACAGTGGGTAGCAAAAGTATTTAACACATTGGTTTTTCTTACATATCTCAAAAAATAACAGGTCAATTTCAACGAAACTTATAGGAAATATTTAAACGAACATTGTCGATCAAAACATAGAAGGAAAATTTAAAACCACTGTTTTGAGAAACATTTATTAACAATAAATAAAATAACCCATATGCAACCCTTTTGCATATGGGTTATTTTATTTGGAAGAGACGAAATAACAAATTTACACAACCAACGTTTATAGGCGGATCGGAATACCCATGTTACAATGCAGGCTAGACACCCGCATCAGTTTACGATTCATGTGTGGGTTGGAATTGTAGGTAACTGTCTGTTACGTATATATGTTCTCCCAGCACATCTTACAGGAACTGTCTACAGGGACTTTATTTTGAACACACTTCCAGACCTGCTAGAGGATGTACTCCTGCTAATTCGTAGACACATGTGGTTCATGCATGATGGGGATCCAGCACATCTTAGTCACATTGTTCGCGATGCACTGGATGACGTCTACCATGAAAGATGGATAGGTAGGGGAGGACAGATACCGTAGACTGCACATTCCCTCGACCTCAGTCCTTTGGATTTTTATCGGGGGTGGGGGACACCTAAAACAATTGGTTTATGCAGCAGACATTAATAATGCAGAGACTCTTCATCAACGTGTCATTTGAGCCTGCGAAACCATCCAGCACCGTAATTGAAAGTGTCCGTCAGTCAAAATCTGAAGTGTGCATGCGTGTATAGATGCAAGCGGAGGACATTTTGAACATGTGAGTTGTTGTGTTGAGATACAATGAGGGACTTTTGGAAATATGTTTATATGGACATTTTAATTTGTTTTGGTGTCAGGAACCCGCTCCCAAATTTATTAAAACATTTTTTGGATTGTATCTTAGATTGTACATTTAACAAAGTCTTCCGTAAACTTTAAACTTAATAACTCAAAACTTAAGGATTTGCTGACATTTGGACTTTTGTCCTTGTTTTAGTGTAAAAAACCCGCTCCCAAAGTTTGTAAAAGAATTTTTGGATTGTATCTTAGATTTTACATTTAAGAGATTCTTCCGTAAACTTAGGATTAAATAAAGGATTTGCGGACATTTGGACTTTTGTCCTTGTTTTAGTGTGAGGAAACCGCCCCGAAGTTTGTAAAAGAATTTTGATACACCCTGTATATATGTGTTCATATATATATATATATATATATATATATATATGTGTGTGTGTGTGTGTGTGTGTGTGTGTGTTTGTGTGTGTGTGTGTGTGTGTATATATATATATATAAGTATTTTGACACACCCTGTATATATATATATATATATATATATATACATATATATATATATATGTGTGTGTGTGTGTGTGTGTGTGTGTGTGTGTGGAATTCTAACATTTTATTATTATACTTACAAGAATGTAATATTATTCCTTCCTTATCCAAAACCAGAATATGAAAACCCTTATCCAAAATTCCTTATCTGCATTTAATGAATCTGCTATCATTGCTGGTTTTCTTATTTTTGATACCTGGCGAATTTGTAGATTTGGAAATCCATCCAATCTCCCCTCTCCTCCACCCTTCTTGAGAGACAAAAATGAGAATATAAAAACGTCGCCATCTTAATAATAATAATAATAATAATAATAATATTGATAATAATAATAATAATAATAATAAGCCTGTTCTTAAAACTGTCGGTAATTTTGGCTTGAAATCTCGCATTCGTTCCTTAACTACTATTACTACTACTACTACTACTACTACTACTCTCTGACCTTCCCACAGTTCCAGCAGGTTTTCAGTTCGTGGCCGGCCAGAAAAAATAGTCAATCCTGTACTTTCTCTAATATTCACCGACGAAAGGTTTTGCTTTGCCAAAAGACGAGTTGAGCTGTGAATAAAAGCCAGTGTAAATGTAACATATCTGATTCATTGCCCAATTAATTCTCTGGAAATGACTTCATGGCCTACCGGTCTTATTTTTTGTCTAAGAATAATACCTATGAAATAACGGTTAGCATAAATCCCTTCGGCATTTATCCTAATAGGGGATATTCGGTCTTAATGTAAGTCAGAATAGCGCCAGATCCCTAACTAACCCATCCTAATCTACTGTAAGCCAATCCCACACTTAATCCCAGCGCTCTTAAACCGACCTCTAATTTCTTTTCCTGATCAAGAGATGGAGGGGTCGGAATATAATGTAAGTTAAGAATGATTGGGTGAGTGGATATGAAACTCTTCATCACAAAACACTCGATAAACGTTCTTAAATCTCTTTCGTACCGTAAATACGAATCTAATTTTAAGTGCGCCCTTCTTTATGCTTTTTAATAAGCGGGTCCTGCATAGGTAATCTTCATATTTCTAATCTGTATTTATTATTCAAACACTTTTGACGACAATAATAAAAATGATATTATCTATACTTGCGTCAATAACCTTATACTATTTGTATGTACACTATTTACATTATTCGGACTATCGTCCTCATCTTTGTCGCCATATTTATTACAAAGTTTCGGCCGTTGTACGCTCCGGCCTTCGTCAAGTGGTTGGAATGTCGAACTGAACCCTTTATTTCGCTCACTGGGGTAGGCTGTTCTAGTTCAAGTTATCAAGTGATGATGTTGAATGTAGAATAAAGGGTTTTAAAACGTTCAAATCAATCAAACACCCCTCGTAAGGGGAAACGCTGTTACATAAGCTGGAATGACCAATGAAAATATAAAAGTATACGAAAATTCAAAAAAAACTTGACAACGAACTTTGGTTATAATAATTATTTAATGCTTTAATGTTGTGGTTAGACTAAAATAGAATTTATTCTAACTAATAAATATTAAATTATACGATAAAATTTGAAATTACAAATTAAAAATTGCCCATTTTAAAATTTAAATTTAATCTATATTACACTTAAAATCATAAAATTACTGAAGAAAAAAAGAAAAAATACATGTTATTTTATTTATTTATTTTTTTATTGAATTTAAGTTGGAATAAACGTTAATATCAAATGTTGCTCCGAACTTCATGACAACAGATACATTTGAAACATAAACATAGGCAGGGGAGGATGACATCTTGAAAACGACAATACATACACAATCAGATTATAATGCATAAACACGCAAACATATTTAGATATATACACACAAAAAAAAGCGACGAGACAGGAAATATCTCCACGACTCAAAAAACATATATAAACAATGAAAGGTACACAATAGTGACCATACACACAGACACCAATAAAGACACGTACATACACACACATACATTGACAAAGACACGCCGATACACCTACCAAGAAATATTCAAGTTTGAAAGTGTTATTAATTGAATTCTAACCACTTATTAAAATATAACTTATACGGACAAATATACATAGATAAAAATGATATACTTACATATATATATACATATATATATATATATATATATATATATATATATATATATAGAGAGAGAGAGAGAGAGAGAGAGAGAGAGAGAGATCAAATCAAACGAAGCAACCGTATACGCGCGTGTTGGTGTGCCTACACAGGTAAGCAAATAAATAATCATCAAATTTAGTCATGAGGTGTAAACATAACAGTGTTCGATGTCGTTAGACAAAGCAAAGATATATATTAATAAATGTATATATACATAGACCTACGTTTTGGTGTGCGACTTAAGTTTCGCCGGTTTTCCAGCTCATCGGGCACAAAGTATATAAATATTTTTATAAAAGTATATCTTATGTTTTTATAAAAACATAAGATATACTTTGTGCCGGATGAGCTGGTAAACCAGCGAAACGTAAGTCGCACACCAAAACTTACGTATATGTATATTTATTAAAATATATATATATATATATATATTTATATATATATATATATATATATATATATAAAACTATCTATTTATTTATTTAAG